TTCCTCCCAGCTCCCCAGTCTCAGGGAAGTGGGGTGGGGGGGAGGGGGAAGGCACAACAAAGGGGGATGAGGGCAAAAGTTTGCTGTGGATCTGTTTTGGGCCCTGACCTGGGCTCTAGACCACAGTCAGAGCTGTAGCAGCCGCCTGCTCCTCACTCTTCTTCATATAAGAACATAATACAAGGGGCTTTTTCCCTACCATGCTGACTGCTCTTTCACTTTATATTTGAATAAATACGGTAATTAATCCCAAAGTATTTGGTATGTAATTAGCATAGATGCTATTAAAAGAAGTTTCCTGTATGCTATTCATTTGAGACTCTTGAGATAGTTTTGTAGACTTAAATCCCTCGCAGCTAGACAGTCAGCCTTAAATCTGAGATTATAACTGTTGCACAAAAACTAATTTACCATATACTATACAGTAAATCTCCTAGTAATGATGAATTAATTTGTAGAACAGAAAAGGGCTGCAAGATTCTTCTCTTTCCCCAAAACAACCTTCAAGGCTTTTGAATTCTTTATGGTTTGCCTTTAAAAAACCATTCAAAATGTGAATACCTATTTATTTAAAAACACATGGTTAAGTGCTGAGCTGCAAAACATGCAAACAAACAGCCCACACCATAAAAGAGTCAATTAAAAAAAGAATCAACACACTAATTATGACAGCATATTGTTATAGTACTACATACACAGGCTTCAAAAAACAGACTAACCCTCAAAAACAATGCTGCGAAACAGCAATTATTTTGGCTGCACCATGTACAAAAACCTCAAATAAAAATCTATGGCACTGCTAGAGGAGAAAAAAAGTCAAAAACAGTGCGGGGGCCTTTCAGGATATATTGCAAAGTTTGAGCACTTCTGTATTAGGTTAAATTATGTTGTATGAGAGAATATACCGAATGAATAAAAATCAAAGACTTTGTATATTTCTTTTTTCTTATTGACTAGAAGCAATAACTCTTTGTGGTTGTTTTCACATTCCAAGGCAACAGCTTACAACACTAATGAACTCAGTTTTTGTAAAATTTCCTTCTACACATCATCATGCAAAAAACAAGGATGATTTTCTGCAAATACTTTCACTTTAAATGTTTATCTACTGCACATGTTAGTAGGCTCTTTTCTTTTGGAAATAAAACTTCTTAATTCATAGTCTCATGGTTAGTAGGGTCGGAAGGGACCTGAGCAGATCCATCAAGTCCGACCCCCTGCCATGGCAGGAAAGAGTACTGGGGTCAAACAACCCCAGCAAGAGGTGACTGTCCAGCCTTGTCTTAAAGACCCCCAGGGTAGGAGCCAGCACCACTTCGCTTGGAAGTTGGTTCCAGATCCTAGCCACCCTGACCGTGAAGTAGCGCCTCCTGATGTCTAGTCTGAATTTACCCTCTGCCAGCTTGTGACCGTTATTTCTAGTCACTCCTGGTAGTGCTCGGGGAAACAGGGACTCCCCCAGTGCCTGCTGGTCCCCTCTGACTAGTTTGTAATGGGTCGCTAGGTCCCACCTCAGCCTTCTCTTGTGGAGGCTGAACAGGTTCAGGGCCTGTAGCCTCTCCTCGTAGGGCCTGTCCTGCTGCCCCCTGATCATGCGAGTGGCCCTCCTCTGGACCCTCTCCATGTTGTCCACATCCCTCCACATTTCCATGTAGTACAACTGATTTTTCTCAGCTAGTTAATGACAATGTAGAACAGTGGTTCTCAACCTTATTAGACTTGAAACATCCCTCAGAAAACGCCACCTCTTAGCTTTCATTCATCTTTTGACTATGGAAAAAATACTAGAGCAATTCTTCTATTGCAAAGAATTTGGGAAGACCGCAACATGTGAGCATGTTTTTGTCATTTCATAAATTTCATAGATGTTAGGGCTGGAAGGGACCTCAAAGATCATCAAGTCCAGCCCCCTGCTCCAGCTAAGGTCAGCTAGGGTCAAAGGATCCCAGCAAGATAAGCATCTGAGTATTTCTTGAATGAGTCCAAAGTAGGTGTCTGCACCACTTCTGGAGAGAGTCTATTCCAGGTCTTGGGGGCTCAACCAGTAAAGAAATTTTTTCTTATGTCCAGCCTAAAACGGTTTTGTAGGAGTTTATAACTGTTGGCTCTTGTTTTTCCTTGGGGTGCTCTGGTGAACAGACATTCTCCCAGATCCTGATATATACCCCTTTATGTACTTATAAGCAGCCAGCAGGTCCTCCCTGAGCCTGTGCTTTTCCAGACTGACAAGTCCCATGACTCTCAGCCTCTCTTCATAGAGCCTATTCTCTTGCCCTCTGATCATGCGTGTGGCTGACCTCTGTACTCTCTCAAGCTTCTCAACATCCTTCTCGATTGCGGAGCTCAGAATTCGATTCAGTACTCCAGCTGTGGCCTCAACAAGGCTGAGTACAGCAGGAGGATGACATCCTGAGATTTACTTGAGAAGCATCTATAGATGCAAGCCAGAGTTTTGTTTGCTCTACCAGCTGCGACATCGCATTGGTGGCTCATGTTTATTTTGTGGTCAACCCTGACCTCCAAGTCTCTTTCAGCAGTGGTGTTAGCAAGAGTAGGACTGCAAAGCCTATAAGTATGCTGCAGGTTTCCCCCTCCCCCCACCAAGGTGGCGTACCTTACATTTATCGTATTATGGATTCTTATTTGAAATCTCTGTATTTATCTTGTAAATCACGTGCAGGTGCTTACACACCTAATGGTATTCATATCACATACCACCCTTAAGATCTTGCAGCACCTAAGGATGTCATTGTACCCCAGTTAAAAATCAATGCTCTAGAACAGTGGTTTTCAACACATGGTCCATGGACCCCTGGGGATTTGCAGACTATGTCTTGGGGTCCACACTGCCATTCAAAATTTTTTTAGAGCCCTGCAAATGAAAAAGGGTTGAAAACTACTGTTCTAGAATATGCAAAGTGAAGTCATAGTTACTGTCCCGAATTTATTCTTTGGAGACCTTAGTGGATTCAACAGCTAATAAAATATTGTAGACTGTTACTGCTCAACATGTGAGGTTTAACTAAGTTAGCAGCCCTGCAGGACAGAAATTAAGGGCATATATGCACAGCTTTCTTAAGCGGGACTCAGCTGCCCACTGCAGATTGGGTAGCTGGAGCAAGTAATGATGTCTGAGGCAGGCAACATAATATCTTAAATGACTGTACTGTAATGTAGTCACATCAAAGTAGCTACAAACAGGGGAGCTCAGGTACTGTAACAGCAGTGTGAAGCTCAGCACAAGTTAGTCACTTGA